GCCCCCCCCAGCCACAAGAACAAGCTCTGCAGTGGCAGAATACAATGGATCGGTCAAAGAATTGTTTAACTACCGTCTCCATTGAAGTAATGGGGTAGGGAACATCATGAAGAACTACCCGTTCAACCCATCAGGACTATTCCACTCAAACTCCACTATGAGTTTTGAATTCAGATCCACTTTCAATTCTGAAAAGATTCTAATGTTCTTGCTATAGAATCATCACTAGTTTGAATAATCCCCACCATTCCTTTTAGCATAATAGATGAATGTCTATCAATCTCATCTTATCTCTGCCAAGGCAATGGAGACTATAAAAGTATCCCAATTTTTTTCTAATAGCAATGAGGGAAAATAAAAATAGGACTACAAACTCAAGATAGATGGAGTTGGTAAGAAATAGCATGTATGCAGATTTTCAAACAGATGAGATTCAAATGAACACACAACAGCTCCTTTGGGGAATAAAAAAGGTCTGAATACATACCGGAACTTCTGTGTTGCAATAACTTGTTAACCACAAGAAATCAACAGGTAACTCACTATTCTATCCTCTGCAAATGACACAAACACTAAGTTCATCTCAACTCAGCATGCTTGATCATATGAAACATTGATAACTTGCTGTAACTCTACTGGCTCCCAATACATCATCTCTCACTCTTCTTCATGTTTGGAAAATAATTCAATTTTCTTCACTTCAATGGCCACGGACTTAGCATAGACTCTGTAACATATGGACAGGAACCAAAAGCACTGAACTGTGGCTTCCATATGACATATGCATATTGCGTGTAAACATTCAAGTGTTCGTAATATCTTAATTTTTATGCATCAAATCTGAATTTTTTTTTCCTTAAAAAGAAGAAGAAGAGCAATTCCATGAATAAGACTTGAATGTTTACAATGAGGATACGCACTTTAAAATCATTTTAACCAAGTGATACATGGATATATACATGCAAGACCTCTCTAGCTGCTTCACGGGGAAGGAAGAGCCCTGTGAATTTAGGCAGTTAAGAGAACCCTAGAGTCACCCAGAACATGTAAATACAAGGCAAGGCATACGGTAACGATAACAGAGGACTTAGCCCCAACATATGTGACTACTTCAAGTCCCCTGTCGACAACCTCTTCCTGAACCACATTAAGACTTCTTTTCACCCCATCCGACATCTTCCACAGCATGAACTCCACAATGGACCTTATCGTTTCAAATGTAACCCTCCCGGTCACATCCAGCACAAACTTCCTATTGCTTGGCACTGACAAAGCAGATGAAACCTTGCCAACCCATCCACCATTCTGAACCTCATCAAAAGACTTCCTATCTTTCATACATGCTTCCCGCTTGAGATAATCATCTTTGTTCACACCCAATTCTTCACCCTGCTCAACAATTGAATAAGCAGAACCCGACTTTGCAGTCGAACTGGTGGTCAACACTTGGTGAGATGTTTTCACTAGTGTTTCCACAGCTCCATTACAGATAGAAACCAGAACGTCCCTCACATTGTTTTGATGCTTTGGATTTGCCAAGCCAGTGAAAAAGTCGTCATAAGTATTGATCTGCAATGTCTTATCAAGATAAACAGCAACCGCCGTGCTCACGAACTTTTGTATGCAATCAGCAATGAGCTCCCTACACCTATCATCACAAACCACACCAATCCATCCAGGCACATCTGATAAACTCGATCTTGATTGATCCTCACCACTCGAATAAAGCCCCAAAACCAAATTCCTAGCAAAACTACCGACCACAACAGAAACAAATCCGGTCCCTTTACTAGAAAACAACCTCTCCATCACTTTATCAGAAAAACTCGAATTCCCATAACCTGACCCTAACTTCTTATCATTTCCAGACTCCAAATTATACCCTCGCAGAACCCCAAGAGTCAAAGCCTGAGTAACCCCAATCAAAGACTCGGAAAACTCATCCGATTTCGCAATCTTCGAAATTTGCTTTAAACTATTGGGGATTTTATCCGCATCAGATTGCAAAAACTCCTTCAAATCCTTAGAGACAATACTGATAGTCTCTGCGGAATCGGAAACCATTTCAGCAATAGAAATAAAAGCCTCCATAAGTCTCATAAATTTCCTCCTTTTTCTTACCACAGCAGGCAAATTATACACCTTATAAACCCCATAGCCAGACAGACCAGACACAGCTAGAAAAATCAGCAATTTCTTTTTTCTCCTGGAAAAATCTAAACCCTTCATCACCAATTCAAGATCCATCGTTTCCGAAAATTGGAACCCCAGGGCTTAAATTGTGAAATTGGAGAAACGAGAATGGGTTTTAGGCGCAGAGATAAAGACAGAAGAGGGTTTGTTTAGAAAAGCGAGAAAATTAGGGTTCGGTTTCGTTTCAATGTTGTCAAGTGTTGTTGGATATATGAATATGTATGCATGGATGTTGTATTGGTAGTTGAATCACTACAAGATGTTTTAGAAGATGAGTAAATAAAATTGTAAGCAGATGGCAATTGAAAACTGGGAGTTTTTTATGCAAAAAAACAATTAAACGAGAGATGACGAGGGAACCTGATTTGATTGTACAGTGCTACAGTTCAGGTTAGGGAAGAGAGATGGCAAGCTGACAACACAACAGACAAAAACGGAGTAGAAGCAATGAGAGCTGATTGGTTGATAAGGGTAGACTATGAATCTGTTTATGGATCTCTTCTCTTCCTTTTTCCTTTTTTTTTTTAAAAAAAAATCCGCAGGCGGTCCTTGTGTTTGTTTGATTCTAGACTTCCACGTGTATTGAGATGGTAGTAAAAATATTTTTTATTTTAAAATAATATTTTTAAAATTTTTTATTTTTATATGCATTAAAAAAATTAATTTAAAATAATAAATATTTTTTGAAAAAAATTGAACTCAATACCGACCGGAATCTTGAGAGGAGGAAAGATAATGAGTTGGCATCCTAGGACAATTTTCACGATAGATTTACTTATCATGAATCAATCATACATTCTTATGTATTATCAACAGAATTTGTACTTCCAACAACCATCTTCTTTGAATTATTTTTTTTTCTCTGGTTGCTAATGTTATTTTGTTAGAGGTTTTATTTTTTAATTAAAATAAAATTTTTAGTTTTAAAATATTTTGAGCTATCATTTCAAGATTGTACTGTTTATATATATATATTCAATAAACATAATTTAAATTTAAAATAAATTAATTATAAATTATACAATGCAAACATAATACCATACAAATATAATTTTAAAATTTAAAATATTTCTAAATAGACAAAATTAAATAAATCTTTAACTTAAAATAATTCAACTTAAAAAAAATCAAAATATCATAAAATAAAATATTCTTTTAAAACAAATATTTTAAATATAAAGTTAGATGAATGTTATTAAGGCTAATGAGATTTAAAATATTTTTTGTTTTGCTCAAATTCCTACAAAATATAAATATAAAAAAAATAATATGAATATAAACTATATATGTCACGACCCGAATCCTGGATCCATGACCAGCACATAGGCAACGTTCCCCTCTAAGGTTCCATACCTATGCAAACCCAAACTTACATACAAATTTATCTTAACTCAATAAGAGTTCAACGCAATATTAATAACAAAATCAACTTCATAATATAATTGAATTGTCTTAATACAAGAGTTAATATAATTTTATAGTTTTGGAGCACTAACTAGATATAAAGGAAAATGTACGAATTACAACCAAAAGAGCAGGTTCTGAAGGTCCAACAAAAGTGATCTCTATCAAGCTATAAGCCTGAAAATAATAAATAATGAGAGTGTGAGTTCAACAACTCAGTGAGTAGATAACGTTCAATATACACACACGAGATAATACAATAATGAGAAATATATATACAAGTATGACTTTAGGTTTTTATAAAAAGGTTTATCAAATAGGCCATAACAAGAATGTCATATGGTAAAATCGTCAGAAAATCAAAATGCAATGAGCATGAGGCTCCGTACTGTGGGATGATCAGTCCACACAGGTTGGTGACTCCCCCGACCAACTAGGGTTCAGATACGATGTGCACAAAGACTAACACTACCCTGTTAGCATGGGTATTCTGACTGACATACCATAGGGTCATAATCATACTCAAACAGACATATTAATATCTCAAGGCTCAACTCATGTCATCAATCAAATGAGGAGCTATCAATTCAGAAGTCAATCTAAAAAACATACTGGTTCATATCAAAAATTCAGATTCAACAAATGATCATGCTTATCATAATAAGGATAATAGTCACCGTATATATTATCAAGAAGCATGATCCAATTCATATTAACAAATCAAATATTTATAATATTTCTCTTGCATATGGAAAATTATCCACTCACCTGACTCGAAAGCAAACAGAAATCAAAAGCAAACACCGAAGAAAATCCTACTGACGTCCCGCCGGTAGAATATCAGGATTATCTGAATATAAAGAAAATATATTCAAGAATGACTCAAAAGAACATATAACCTATTTAATACACTTAACTACGGATCTATTTCATAACCCTATATGTATTTAGACTAAACTAGTTATTTTCCTAAAAACCAAAAAATTAACGATTTTCTCGAAATCTAATCCATAATGAAACAATTAATAAAATTGGTAATACTTCACTAACTAACCCTAAATTATTCATCAAACCAATCTGAAAAAGCTAATATTACAGCTAGGGACTAATCTGTAATTTATCATATTTTTAAGGGTCAAATTGTAACTTTATCCATTTGGAGGACCAAACTAAAATTATCATAAGTCCATGACTATACTGAATTCTGACCATAATTAATCCTCATTTCTGTCCAGATCATCTCATTATACTCCAGGGACCATTCTGTAATTTTATCAAAATTTTTAGGGTCAAATGGTAATTTTTGTCAAATTGAAGGACCAAATTGAAAGTGTTAAAATTTCATAACTATACAGGAATTCTTCCCATAATTTATCTTTTATTCTGTTCAGAATCTCGGAATATGCCCCAGGGACCAATCTGTAATTTTTCAAAGTTTGGGGACTAAACTGTAATTGCCACAAATTGAAGGACTAAAATGAATTTTCGTCATCTTCAACCTCCAACCCAGAATTTCAACAGAAACCCACTGTTATTTCCTTATTTCTAACATAATTTCACCATTCAAACAAAATCATAACTTAAAATCATCATCTTTCAATTCAATCTCTCAAAATCCACCAAATAATCCATTACCCATAACAATCAACTCATAATATTCAATTAATTCATCAATCAAACCCAAAACATAAATTTTTAAAACCCTAACATTTATCAAAACCAAAATTAAAACTTAATCAACACATATTTATATATAATCTTACCTTTAAACTTATTTCCTTCAACTCCTTTCTATTTTTCTTCTAATTTTCCTCTTTTCTCTTCTTCTTCTTTCTCCCTTCTCTCTCCTGCCGATTCTCTCTCAACTTTCAGATTACTTATTTTTTTATTTTTTTTTACTTTCTATTTATATTTATCAAGTTTTGTTGAATTACTACACTACCCCTCATTCATTTATACCTACACTTTAAGCCACCAAGGGTTTTATTGTATTTTCCTACTTATTTATTCAAAACATTACAATATATATTAGTGATAAATCTAATTTTAAAATATTAATATTATTGTTAATGAAAATAGTAATAATAATTTTCAATATTATTATTAATATCATTATTATTGAAAATTATAATAAAAACAATTATTTATACTTTGGTGATTCAATTAATTAAATTGAATCATTTTTAATTTGATTCATTAATTTTTTAAGACCGGAATGGAACATATAGAATAAAACTGATACATTCTAGTATAAATTTAACTAAAAAATTTAAAATGGATTGAGATTTAAAATAAGATGAAAATTATTTTATTTTATTTTATTTTTTAAATAAGATTCTCATTCTTTTGGTTTTGATTTTTCTTTTTTTTTAAGATCTTTTTGTGAATTTAATTTTTTCCTTTAATTCAAAATTCTAAGTTGTCCTCTTATTTATTTTTTATTTTGAATTTGATGTCATTCTCTTAATTGTTATTTTTTATTTTGGACCTTTTTGTATAATTAATTTTTTTTTATTTTATCCTTTGACATTTGAATTATTATGAATTGGGTTTTGTGATTTTTCTAGATAAGGCGCTTCCGATTTCGTAACTTAAGTCACATGTTTGAAAAGTTAACATCATTTTTTTTTCCACTTATTTTTTTTCAATTTCATCCTTTGATGTTCTTTATTTTGAAAAATAGTCTTCGTGATTTTCTTCAATTTTCTTTTAATCACTATTATTAAACTCGGATCGGCCCAACGGGTCGACTCGGGACCTTGTGGCAAATACTCCTTTTTTCTTCATTTTGTCATGCCATTTATAGTTACTTCTATAATATTTTATATTAAATGAAAATGGGAGAATTTTAAAATTAGAATATTTGAAAAAAAAATGACAAACTAGTATATTTTTAAACATAATTAATGAAATAGTATAGTTGCAGAAGTTGCACTACTCCGAGCAATGCAATCCTCGAAGAATTTTTTAATTTTTTTCAAACAATTATGTTATTCTCAGCATCATAACTACAAGGGTTGCGTTTAATTCTGGGAGCAGCACACCTGCGTAAACTTCATCGAATGAGTTGCACTTCTTCCCGTACATAGCCAACCATTTAGAAGCCGTTTGGCAACGTGGTTGTGCTCATGTTTTGTGTGATTTTATATAACAAGCTGTTTAGTTAATAATAAATACATGTTATTATTTGTCGGGTTCCATATACTGCTGCATTTAAAATACAAGGAAAAAAAAAAAGCAGTTCTGAACTGCTTTATATGCAACTAAAATTTAATTCATGATACTGTTCAGTAAATAGAGGGATATGTCTTCACTATTTGTTGAATATTTTTTTTAAATTTAATATAATTAATTAATTTTACTTACATTATTCACGTGAATATAAATAATATATATATTTTTATTTTTTAAAAAATTAGTTTAAGATAAATTAAATTTATTCGTATTGTAATATTAATTTTATTTTTAATAATATTTTATCTAATTTTATAGTTCTTATGGGATGAATTTTGATACGTAATAGAATTATAAATAGTTTTTTGTTAAAGTAATTTTTTGTATAAAGTATAATTTATTTTATGATGTAATAATAATAGTTAAATCCATAATATTTAAATTAAAAATCATTAATATTGATATATATTTTTTAAAATTATTTTATAACTTTAATTTTAAAAATATTCTTATTCAAACATATTAAAACTATTTTTTTAATTTCAATTTCAATTATAATTTTAATAAAATATTTATTTTTTTAAATCAAATTAACTAAAAATATAATTTATAAAATAATTTTTTTAAATCACAGTCATAACAACCACTCCAGCAACCACAACGTCAAATCTACAAACTCCCCTCTCCTTTTCTCCCATTGCTCTCTCTTAGTCTAGTGCTCTCTCTCTCTCATCTAAAAACCATTCTGTCCCCGTCATCGCTCCCAGTGCCGTCGTTGTTAATTCCTTGTTGTCGCTAATCCTCTTCACCCTCCATCCTTACCTCCTTCCACTTGGCTCTGTAACAGGAGGGTCAAAGAGTCGCTGCTGTAGTTCATGACGCAACTAATGAGACTCTGCACACCCACGCCATTAATTGGTTCATAGTTTGTCGTGATAGACTCGATTCAGTTCGGGAGGCTTTGCGTCTACAGGATGTGATTTCTGATGCACGTTGCAGAGAAGAGGTCAATGTTGAAGTCATAGTGGTTCAAATGGCATAAGATGTGACACGACCAATAATTAAAGATAGGACCTCAGTGGAGAGGGAGATAATTAGTGTGGTTATGAGCAGGTAGTTGTTCCTGTTATACCTCCATGACAGAGGTTGGATTAACTTCTATGTTGCTATCAATGATGGTGTGGTTCTGGTAGGGCATGGATGATCGTCATTTACTAATTTAAATGACTGCCAAAAGATATAATTGTTGTTTGTGAATTTAAAAGAGAGATAATGGTGAGCTTGTAAGAGCTGGTTGCAACTGACGATTCCATTAGGGTTGACAGTGATAAGATCGATGCCATAAGGATTGACGAAGGGTGTCGACGTACGGTCCTCATGAAGACAGATTTTTCATGGGTTATGACGTGGAAGACATGTTTTTTGAAGCTTTGAGTAGGAAAAGAAATAGAGAATTTCAACAAGTGGTTATCAAAAGGGATGAAGATGGCTGAAATAATAATAATAATAATAATAATAATAAAGGATTACTTCCATAAATCGATGCTTAAAGATTTTAGAAATCAGTCTTTGATAGTAGAATAAAATAGGAGAGAAAACTGATGACGAGAAGATCAAGAGAGATGTCTTAAGAGTTTTAAAAAAACCATGACAGCCTTTGATGTATTTTTCTTATTCATTAATCATTTTGTTTTTTTATGTTTTTCTTTGGACTTCATGCATAATTTCCAATCTTTACCACATTTTTTAACACACTCTTTAAAGCGTTAACAATCAAACTATATTTAGACTGTGATTATGATACGTGTTTAATAATACATTTTAATTATATTTAAAAATGATTTTCAAAATAAATTCAAATTGATATTAATATTTTTTAGGTATTGGAATTATAATCATAAGAGATTATAAAAATAAAATTAATTTTATTTTAATTTACATTTGCTAACACATCTAGATCATATTATCAAGCAACACACTAAAAGTCAATTCTTCCTTCATCAAAATCTAAAGCAAACATTTATACTCAAATCCACACACCCGCAAACCTGTCTTCAATATATTACTACAGCTACCATTAACTAACCTGTTAATACTTAGCAGCGGAGTTAGAGAGTTACTAGATAAATTTTTCAAAAAAGATTCTATTTTAATAAATAGTGTTTTGTTTTGTGAGCGTGTTTTATTAAAATGAAAATAAAATGTAAAAATGTTTGCATATTTCAAGGGTCACTTTCTAGCTGCAGATCTGATCCACAATGCAACTAATGAATGGTTGCTCGATTTGTTTTGTTTGAATTGGATATTAATTGCAATCCAAGAACTGAGGCAGGCTACAACCAAGCCTGGAGGTTACATCCTGGGCTTCTTTATCTGGGTTGTTTTGCATGGCATACACCATGTAGGGTGGATACTGAATCATGGATGGGAACGAATAAGGGGCCTCCGCCGAGAAATGAATACAGGCGACCATTTCGGGGTAACGCCACTTCTGTACCGTACCGGATCATCGTCCGTGCAGGTAATTCAAAATTTCAAAGAAGGATTCCAACCTGAGAATCACCCGAGAAACGATCCCCTAGCGACCGAGAAGGCCAAATTAAATCAGCAAGCCGGTCCTCACACCTGCGATAGGTGTGGACAATCTGAACTTGCCTACTCCAATTTAGCGCCGCAAAGGATCTTGTAATTAAGCTCACTATATATTTTCTTAACCTGACCTTCTTTGATGTGAAGCTTAAGTGCTGTCGACCTAGACAGAGTCAAGACTCCGACCACCTTTGATGCTAGCTGGACGTAGTCATTGAATTTAAAGGCAGACAAGCTAGAAGGCTAAAGATTTATTATGTGAAACAATGTTTTTCACATTTTCTTAAGCTGACCACCTTTGATGTGAAGCTTAAGTGCTGCCGACCTTGACAGAGTTAAGACACCAGCTAGGCTTGAATAACAAAACAACCAATACTCGTGGCATCATGCTTTTGCTTGTCAATAATACGCCCTAGAGCATACTCCTATGTTTTGACAATTCAGACAGGACAAGAAAACAATGAAGATCGCTTGCGTTTTTTGATCATTGAATATGGCGACAGAGGATCTTACAAGACTCAGCTAATAAAATTATGCTTCTATTAAAGTTTTGAACCAAATGGGTGATGTAAGTTGAAGGTGGTCAGAGTTGCTGACCAATCATCATCATCATTATTCTTTCTTTCTCTTTAAAGGGAAGGTGAAATGGGCTTGAGACCATACAATGGAGGTAATACCCCCCAGTTCTTATCCTACACTTTCCAGCTGTCCCCTTGGACAATGCTCTTTGTAGGCTAGTTTCGAGTATAAGTTGAGCAATGCCATGCAATACTCAGTCTACTTATAGAGTATCTATGATTCGGGTATGGCGGTAGAAGCTGGCCTAAAGACGACAACGGTCAATTTTCTTTTATAAAAAGTGCAGGGAAAAAGAAGGGCTTCTAATTGATCCACTCTTGCTGTCATGGAGTCAATATGGAGGGACTAGCTTCTAATTCAAGCGTTTTGTATTTATATTTTAGCATCGATATTTCTGGTTCTCATTCGAAGATGGGATTAGGCAGTTTTTTCCCACTCATTTTTAATCACACCCCCCCCCCCCCCCCCCCAAACAACAACCCCTCTTTTTTTTTTGTGGCGAAAGAGGTGACAGCAAAAGAGGAATCCAGGGCCCCTGGAATCCTTCTTGCTTATCCAAATCTTGGCAGTGAACTGTCTTACGGGATTCCGGCTGGAAAAGCATGTACTTTTAGGTAACAACGCACCTAGTTGAAAGCATTGATATTGTGAACGGGCAGGTCCTTAAAATTTTGGTGACTCTGGACTTGGTTTGACCAGCAGATCCAAAACCTACGTCCATTTGCTCCACCGTCTCTTTAACTATTGAAATTCAATATACGGCAGGAAAAATGCATTGCTCTGTGAATTGCAGCAGCGATTTCTGCAACCTTCTGACAGTGCTATTTAGCAAAACCAAAATTAATTTTCAACGATCCTGCCTGTTCCGCTTCCCATCAAACGATGCAAAGAAAATGGAAGGAGAGAGAGGTTGAAACATCAACTCAATCAACGCATCAACAGGTTCTCATCTGCTATTACTATTCTTGAACAGAAAAGGCTCATATGCGTGTGGGGTGCACACAGGCAGAGGCTTTAATTTGATATTGCAGTGAGAAACTGACATGAATTATTATGTCAACGATTAAGCTTACTACCTACAAACTAGCTACAAACTAGGAAAGGTAAAAAGTCCCAATAAAAGATACAGATCATGAGCTTACACTGAATGCAGACTGCAGAGTCCTCACAAATACTGCAATGACCGAGTCATAGTAAAACACCAATTTAAACAGTTAGGAAAATATACGCGCTCTCCACAGAGAGCGATAGCCCAAATGGGATGTTGAAAATTAACTAAAATTACAAGGGAAAAATGCAAGCCCATCTGCAAGGGTTAATTCCCTCCCCACATCCACTCACCGAATTGTCATCACCCCACTCCGGCCAAAAAACCATCACGTTATCGCTCTCTTGACTATGGCTACTATCACCAAACTAGGGATCGGATTGGCGGCAGTTTGGCGAAAGAAAAGAACAGCCCAATTTAACAACATAACCTCTTTGGGTTATTATATATTAGAAAAAATTGGCGAACTGCCAGCTTATAGAGAGTGGATTAATAATTACACAATATGCAATTAGCCTAAATCCACATTATGACGCTTCTATCATGTAAATCCAATACAGTGTATCAATGATCTTTGATCTATATACAAGCGAGAGAAACGAATACCTTACGACCCCATTTTGCATCATCTAATCTCCCGAGCTCAAGCCCCTATCCATCTTGTGACAGGTGAAACGGATGGTATATATCAGCAAATTCTCACATTCACTGTATTGTTCTCGTAAGCTTACACTCGGAAATACAAATGGTAGATGTGCAATTTAGACTACACAATTTCAATAATTCAACCGACTGCTGCTTCAACACAGGATTGCAACCACTCTGTATTACTAGTAGTAGTTTGGCTGCCAAACCCGCCTCCACAGCAAGTGCAGTACATTCTTCTGGTGCGAGCATGCAAACTGCCCATAATATCGACAAAGCAAGCCGCGTGCATGTCTCGGAAACCCTCATCAATAACTTCACCACATTCGGTATTGTGTTGGCACAAACCTTCAAAGCCAATCTTCCCTCGGGAATACTTGAAAGAACATCCAGAATATAGAGCGCTAATTCCAAGCACTCATTATTCAAACTGGGCAATAGCTCCACTAATGGAGGAACTGTTCCAATGCTCACAACTGAGCCCCTTACCGATTCATGTGTACAAATACTCTTTAGCAAACCAAGTCCAGCCAATAACCCATTTGGATGTTTCTTGTCTTTCACCAACCTCAACAAACCAGCTAAAAGTCTCAAGCTCGACATATTTTCATGCTCAAAATCATTCCCTTCCATTAACATTTCCATCAATCGGGTACAATTAATCTTGGTCTCGATAGTACCCTCATTCAACATATCCACCATTAAGGAAATCCTTGCAGGTTGCCTCAAATTCGACTTGGTTGCAAAATCGAGATCCAAATTCACTAGAATTCCAACAGCCTCAGACCCGACAGCATGAGTAGTAAAGGGGCCCAAAAAAGATGTAACCAAGGCAGTCCCGCCATTATCCAGCACAGCCTTCCTTGCCGTAGAATGTGCAGCCACAACCTGCCTAAGTTCCTTCAAAGTCTGCACTTTAGCTTGACCCTTAACTTTCTTCAGATTATCCAGAAGTTCAATAGCCCTTCCTTGCACATCCTCTGATCTCTTCTTCGTGGCTAAGAACTTCTGCGAGAACCAGCTATAAATCAGCTGCTGCATAGTCCTGTTTGGCGTTACCGTATCATCCCAAAGCTCTTGCATTGTAGTGGGGCACGTGCAATGACCCAGAGAGAACCATTTGAGGATGTTGTATCTCTCGTAAGTCTGTCCGGTGCAAAGAGTCACTGGGTCTTGCATTGGGTCTAACGAAATCGGACATATAAACACCGGCGGCACTTCTATTGATTCAAGCTCTTCAACCATCTTCTTCAGATCCAATTTCTCCGCCACACCAGCACAAACTAAACCGCCGCCGGTAACGCCGCCCAAAATGCCATCCTTAATGGCAGTTTCTAGGTCTAGAACTTGGCCACCAGCACCAGCACTCGCATCTAGCTTTACGTTTCTATAGCTATTTGCTTCAAACATCCGCATTTCGGGGTTCCGTTTAAGAAAGAAAACAACACTCCGCACTAGCCAACAAGAAGAGATAAAATCTGTTTCAACAAAGAACCCTGAGATGTCACAGGAAAAGGCAAAGAATAATAAAAATATCAAGACCCATCACATCCACGGGACAAGAAACGTGTGGGAAAGAAAACGAAAAGAAAAGGATAGATGGCAGAAGGCACCCTCTCTCATTCACATACATAGTACACAAAGAATCAACTGAAAGGAGACATATTTTCTACATTGCATGATTTATTTTTGCTCTTTTATCTGATCTCTATCTCTGGTTACTAGAGTGTAAGTAAGAAACTCTCCCTCGTCATCATCAAAGACATTATGATTCTATGTATATTCTACTTCTCTAGCACTAAAGCTTTCTCACGCAACTCAAAAAGGAAACCAAAATGCGAAATCGTCAGCAGCCCAGGTTCACATAAAAGGCTAATAATGACAAGGAAAGAGTAACTAAAAGGGACTCACACACACACACACACAAAGAAGAAGTGAAGTAACAGTGAGCAGCAATAAGTACCTGGACAGCTCAAATTCACCACATGAAATGAAAGACAAGAAAAGAAAGCGATGAAAATCGAAACAATTGCAACGAAGGCATTAAAGAATGGGAACCATACCTTCCCATGGTGCGGCGATACAGGGAAGAAGAGTGTAGAGTAGAAATATATAAAATAGAATAAAAAGCTATACCTTGTGAACTGTGCAGTGCAGCCTTCCGCTGTTCTTTGTTGTGTCGGGCAGGTAACATAAGTATGAAATTATCAAAAGACCCTTGAAGATTTCGCTGTTGTATTGTATTGTAGGTCACCGCACCGCTCAAAAAATCAAAATTAAATTTGAATACCGTATAAATAGACAACCCAACTCCCTTTATTGAGCCTTTACGGGACAGTTCTTGAAATTACGGTCCCACCCTTGTTTGGTGGCACCGCATCCTCAATCCTTGTGGCCAGTCATGGGCCCTGCAGATTGAAGCGCGTTTCCTACAGCGCCGAACAGAGGCGAAAAGCCCTTTTGAGTGCCCTGTACTTGAACTAATTTCCATCATTTATTTTTTGTTGCGTATCAGTCCATAGGCTCCATTTTATTGATGGTGTGAAAACTTCTGCACCTAATGATACGAGTTGAAATAATTTTCACCAGTGTTTATTTAATATTTAATAATGAGATGAAATATGTTTCTTTCAAGTATTTTAGTTTTTAAAAGCATCGTATTACTATTTATACATTTTAAGTGTTTTTTTTATTATATAACAAGATCATGAAAACATTTAAAATAACATTAATTTGGTAAATTTTAAATGAAAAATAATTAAAAAATATTATTAACTAACTATCTCAAACGATAATTACCTCATTATAAGGTCATTATAAGAGTTATTTCTTACTTAGATTGGATACTAAGTTTCTTCCTAGAATAATTTTAATAATGCAAAATATCATGCATTCGTTCAAATTTAATAAATATGTTGAACTTTTTTAATTAATTTCATAAGTGGATTTTTTATCCCCCTTTTCTTTCTTTCTTTTTTAAAATCAAAAAATAGCAAAAAATCTAAAATATATATTTTTGATATATTTATGTCATTTTTATATTTTCAATTTTTTCAAAGGAATTGAAAATTTAAAAATTTACTTTAGGTGCATTTAATTTTTAAAACACTTATTTTAAAATTATTGATTTATTTTTTTCATCTGGTAGGTTAATTATTAACGTTGCTTTTAAAAAAAAATCAAAACAACAAGAATATATTTAAACAAGAGGATAAAATATATATATATATATATATAAAAAAAAAAATTCAAAATGATTTTGAATTGTTTGATCACAAAATTTACCTAAAACTAAGCAATTTTAAAAAAAATTATTTTACTTATAAATAATAAAAAAATCTGACACACATGAGGAAAAGAAGCATTAGCCAGAAACAAAAAGAAAAGACAAGGCCAAAAAACCATTTGGCCACACTTTTCTCTTTAACTTATACACATGCATTCCAAAACCAAGAAAAGGCCAAAAAAAAGAAAGAAAAAAGGGGCCTCTCTCCCTCATCCATAAACCAATTTTGTAACTCCATATCTCACCCAGCCAACAACCTTCGTCCTTCACCATACCACCACCCATCAACAACTAAACACCCAGACCAGCATTCTCTTTGCCCCCATCGCCACGCATCATTTGACCACCGCCAACCATAAATCAGCCTCTCCAACTGACGCCTTGACATTGCTTCTCCAACCCAAATCTCCTCCCACGACAACCGTCTCTCTCCAGCAATGTAATGCCCAAGAGCTCTACGTTGTGAGCCACCATAGCCTCAGCCAACATGAGTAACTTATCCATCGGCACCCATAGCCTCTCTTTACCATTGGTTAACTCCCCTCATGGCTTCTCTCTACACCAGCCTCACACTTGGCAGCTCCTCCACATCTCAACCGACGTTGCTCTAGCTCCTCCTCACAGTGAAAACAGACAAGGAGACACGACCTCCACTGTTGTGAAAGTTAGTACATAGAGGGGATGAATTAAAGAAAGTGGAAGAGAAAGAAAGTCAATATATATATATTCAAATCTCATTCCTCGAGCAGCGTCGAGCTTCACCACTATTGTAAGAGCGAAGAGGAGCACTAGATCCACAATCACACTCCCCTCTAGTAGCGGTGGCGCATGCATACACAATATGTCAACAGTGGTGATGCATGGATACATGCACCACCACTGTTTCAGGAGCCCTTCGACCTCAATAACAGTAGATTTTGAATACTTCAACGTTCAAACACTTCAGGAGATTGATTCGCAACCTCAAAATTTTGAAACAATTATTGCTGTGAAAATTTTAGGATAAAATATTTATTATTGTGCATAATTTTGGACTTTTTAGACATTATTTTATTTGAATTGATTTTTTTATTTGATAATTTATTTTGGATTATGAGTTTTATTTTTATAAGATTGTAATTGTTATTTGAACATTAAATAATGATTTTGGGATTGTGATTGAATTTATGTTGCATTGAGCATTGATTTTTGATTCTTGGATTATGTTTAGATTTATGTTGATTTATTTGAATTATCATGAAATTTGAATGAAACTTGTGAAAGTAATAAGATTTGTGTGATATTTTTTATGTTGCTTGGTTTTAAGTTGATATATTATTTAAAATAGCTTGATAAAAATATTATTGGTGTCTTGTTGTGGTTTTGGTCTAATTTTTAATAAATTTTTAATTTTTAAAAGATTGTTTTGCAATTAATTTTTAATTTCTCATTATTTTTACTTTCCTATATTTAATATTTGAAATTATAATCTAGCTATATGTGAGACACTTTTTTTGTATTAAATAAATCGATTCATTTCCATGAAAACAATAAAAATATTTCTTTAATAAATAAATAAATAACTTTACTTTAAATTTTATATTTCTTTAAAAGATATTTTAATAAATATCTTTGCGTGTATTTTTGAATTTAATATCAATTTATAAAATCTATGAGAACTTAGCCTATATTTCAAAAATACCAAAAAAACTTATTTTTTTTCATCACATTAATTATTACAAATTTATATTTAAGATGTATCTCTGATAGAAAAAAAATACAAAAAATATATTTTGATTTTTGAATGCTTAGGCATGACCCATAAAATTATGTTCTATTCTGCCATGATGGATTCACTTTGACTATTAGACTGACCAACAATTAAAAAATATAATAATATCTTATTTCATGTTAAATAAATAAAGAATGCATCTAATCTTAAGTAAAAAATACTATGAATGATACATCATTTTTATAAATAACCAGTCTTTTTATCCAGATCCCTGTATCCAGATTATGAGACCTATTAAGGTTTTTAATGATCAAAATACTAGATGGCTAATCCATCTTCTTTTTTTTCCTAATAAAGAATAAGAATTCTTTGTCCTTTCCATCCATCACCTCAAAGATCCAACTTCGAGAGAATGTTGATTGAGATGCCATGCATGTACAACAAAATAGCAACTCTATTAAGGACTTCCTATGGACTAAGCTTTATTTTTTCTCTGATTGTTGTGTTTTAATTATTTGGTATGTGTATTTATTTTAACATGCATTTTCTTTAATGTTTCTTATATGCTTTAATTTTTATACATGTTGATCATGCATTTTATAGTATTGACCCACGTGCCCCATGTTTTAATTTTTAAAAGCACACATATATAAGTTTTTAGGTTAGGTGGGGAATTAATGATTTGTCTTACAACTATTGGTCAGGGTTATAATGCATGAACTCATATCTGAGTATATGTTTGGTAAAAGTGGGTGTACAACCCTTAATCATTTCTCGCAACGCCCCTATATTGCTTTTATAAAGACCTTCATTGGACAAATCTGATATTCTTTTGAGTCCTGACAGAAAACATATTTATGTTCACTTAAATATTAGAACATAACTTTAGGTTGTACGTGTTATCTGTAAATTATATCAAAAAAAAAGCTTAACATGTAATATCCTGAATTCCAAGACTTTTGGGTGATAAATAGTTGTTACCTAGATTATAAAAGAGTCTAGATTATTACAAATTGACTGTGATGAATATAAATTTCCTTATCAGTGTGATAATAACTTCAAATGATGACCGTTGCCACCTTTTACAGAGTGAACTCATGTTTAATTTATCTTCTTTTTTTCTTGCATGCATATAATATTTATTAGCTTTGCAACAATGCATGTCTTTCATTGACAGAAGAAATATAAGCTCATCCCTAAATATCAACTCCAACCAAGATCTATAAGAAGCAAATATAAGAGTTTAACCCGAACAAAAACAAGATAACTTCTTGAGAAAATAAAGATTTGATTAACAAATATGATAAGACAAATCATTCACTTTAAAAGGAAGCCCTCGTATATGGAAGTCAATAGTGAAAAGTTCATTATGAATATACCTCTTTATCCCTTTTTACATCCTCATCAAAATATTGTTTCTGACACTTATCTGGTTAATTAAAGTTTGTAAATTATTTCCTTTAACACATTGAGTTCTTCAAAGATTCATATTGTCCTACCTCACAATTCATTGTGATTATTGTAAACAAGATACATCAAATATCTTTACCTTTTTATCCAAAGCCATTCAACTAAAAAATTACAAGAATTATATTATAGCAAGTTTGTAAGCTGATAAACAACAGACAAGTTGAGTTTATAAAAGATAATGTCATCTATTATATTTTTACCAAATCATCTTCAATATAACAAGTGGTTGGAAAATGAACGAGACACAAATATCATTGGGAGAGTTGATTTAAGAAGGGTGTTGCATTGTCAATTATTTTGCTATAAAACTTTGCTATTCTTCATTATTTTTTTAGGATTGCATCTCATTGTTTTTAGTGAAACATGTCTTTTCTACCTCTTTGTTATCAAAGAAAGTAAATCACAAAAAAAATATGAAGAAGATAAAACTTAATTTTTAATAAACTCAATGTTAAAAAAAAAATTACAAAAATCAATTACAAAAAAGGACCTAAAAAATAATTCGAGTCAACTTGGGTTAACCTATTAAATCCATAAGCCGGATCGTGAGATCGAGATAACCCAATGAAAAATAAATTAAAATAAATTATAAAATTTGATTCTCAATCAATCTAATATTAAAAAATAAAATAAAAAACCCAATTAGAATTAGTGCACAAAAAAAATAACTTGA